AAAAGGCGCCAAAGCTTTGTTTTACCGCTAGGAAAGCATAGAAGCGAAATGCATAAAGGGGACAATTTTGACATCAAATGTAAGATACTTTCTTACGAAAGGAAGATTTCGGGGCTAGGAAAGCGTTGGAAGCATTTTGGATATCTGCAAAGAATCCAGAAATGAATAACAAATAACGAGTACCTGTCAATCACTGCTGATTTCCTTCCTTTCATATCGCTATGCCAGCTATAGATCACATTGCATGGTGTATCTATAGGATGACTCATTCGTCTGCCGCGACACTCACTTCCGGTGCGGACTTCCACGCATATCGGTGGTCTTCCGGTACGTCATCTTCGCTCTGCACAATTTCTGCTTGCGAGACTGAGGGAAAGCCGAAAACTAGCTCGTTTGGAGGCGATGTTTGGTGGTGCTGAGTAACGGGTGACACTTTGACCATTTTCAGGCCTCTGAGGAAGACGAAGGCGTCGAAACGTTGGGCCATGTGATTGGAATAAAGACCACCTACCAAACCTGTATGGCACAGAGTAGTTACAAGATACGAATATGCCCAGGTTTAATGAAAACGGAACTTGGAGTTATCTCGACAAAATTACGGCTAATAATTCACGACATCGCCGGCAGCTCAGTCTTTTAGCCCTGATCATAGGTGCGATAGGGGGAGCCGGGCTCTCCCCAGGTGAAGGGGGTCTCGGCTTTTCGACCTTATAGGGTGAAGGGGGTATGTGAGCCTGGGGGGGGAGAGAGAGAGAAAAGGTAAAAAAGCGTGGTATGAAGAGCTCTAATTTGTACCTTATTTAGGTACAAATTAAAAAATTTGTTTAGGATTAAAAAAATAATAAAAAAAATTGACTTTATGAAGATCTGTGCTCCTATTTCATTGCATCAACAAAAACGAAAGCAATAAGGTTTATCCCAAAAGATGAACAAGTTAGAAACAGCTTACAATTCCTGCACGTCATCATCAACCATATCACTATCGCTAACGTCAGAGACAACAAGTTCGCTGCCTGAAAGATCTTCTTCTCCTTCAAGAGATCATCGGAGTAGAAGTAGAAATGCGCCAAAAAGCGTTCTGAGTCGAAAATGGATTTGAAACGTTCTTCTTCTTTTAAGCACTTTTGTGTTTTTTTCCTGGCCCTCTGGTAGCATCAGGAAAGTCAGCAGGTGGGTGCCTAGTTTCTTTATACCATATTTTATTAGGTTGGTCGGAAATTAATCCCCGTTTTGAATTTCAACCGTAATAAGACATGCACTTCTCACTTCTAAATAGGTTGCAAGGTACCATTCGATAGAGCAAAGCAAGCTCTAAAAAGCTCTAATAAACATAAAACAACGATTAGCACGCTGTGCTGACAATAATGGGATAACTGTCAATCAAAAGCGCATTTTTTATTAGAAAAAACATAAACATATAAAAACGATAAGCACGCTTGAATAGACGCGTTCGCTTACGTTCCTGCGAAGCGGATATTGGGATCGGATCGGGCATGGAGCCAGACCTCCCTCGACAGCAACAAGAAGAGCAGGCACCAGTGCCGAATGAGCAGCAGGAGCAGCAGCGCGATCAACAGCACCACCGCCCGGAACAGCAAGCCGAGCAGCCACCGCGGCAAAGGCCCCATTTCGAGTGGGAGGCTGTGAACTTGATCAGGGCGGCGTTAATTTTGGTGACCCGGCCCTCTGGCAGAGGCCGCTGGGACGACTGGAACAGGATGGTCCCGCCGAAACCCGTGTAGTCTCATATTCCTTAACCAAGGTTCTTTGTGATAGTCTCTCAGGCCCCATGATAGCCTATCTTCTCGATATGAAGTGACCTTTGCAAATCATTTTGAACTAGTCATCTACGAGCGTTTGTTGAGAGTAAAACTCAGCTTAGGTTTCTCTATATCCTTTTTGCATGAAGTTTCAAAATGGAACCCAGGCTGGGAACACGTGGAAGAAAGAACGCTATTTTTCTCTCCAGCTGGCACCTGTGACCAAATCGAAAGCAAAACAAAACGCCGTTTTTTCCGTATAGTACTCCTGAGCGAGAGTAAGAAGATTTTGCAGCAACAGCTATGAGAACTCGAGGAACAGCTTAAACAAGACTACCTAAACCCCTTTAAATTGAAGCAGAGCTGGCTCAAAACGAGCAAGACGGATTAGGAGCTCAGCAAAATAACCAACAGAACCAACAGAACCAGCAAGCGCAGAGTCAGCAACATCAGCAGCGTTCGCGGAGACGCCCCCATGAGCCGGACAATCCTATTTACCGATCACACAAAATTCTTAATGACCGGATTGAGAAATTCTCCGGTGTTGGAGATAGAATTTTTAAGAAGTTCCTCGAGGAATATGTGGATGCAGTAGGAGGTTTGATATTTCATATATTAACGCTAAAAGCCTGCTGCCCATGATCCTCTCGGGATCCGTAGAAGTCAAATATAACTCCATAGAGGATGCTAACACCATAGAGTGGGATGATTTAGTCCTCCAGCTGGCAAAGAAATGTAAGAATGAAGCAGTCTTTAGTAATATACGAGATGAACTACATGGTCTCACCCAGGGAAAAGATTCGGTTGGAGAGTTTGCGGGTAAGGTCCGCCTATCAGAAATGAGACAAGAAGCTGACATCGCAAATTGCCATTGATGTCTTCATCAATGGCTTACGAACCAATATGAGGAAAGCCATTCGCAGCTTCCGATATCTTACAACATTTTTTACTATTACCTTGCTCCACCCAGCTCCAACAATGTATTGGCTTTTATCGGTCACTAGAGCAAGTCCTTTTTAGAGCCGGGAATCAAAGAAGCCCTAACATGCTTTATACCATTCGCAAGCTGAGATCATGAAGAATTGAGACCGTCGCCTTTCTTTCTAGGTCTTCTGCGTCGCGAGACATAAGGGATTTTATGTACTTTAAAAATCAACTAATTTTGTGTCCTCACTTACCGTCCAATATACCCAAAAGAATTGTAGCTTTAATACAAAGAAGCGTTGATTATATTACTCAAATAAGATTGATTTTCATGGAACTGTAACGCTCAGGGACGTATTTATGGATGCTCAGAAAGAGTTTGCCGTTGCCTCGTTATGATAGTCGTTTTGGCCATTCTGTGGCCCATAATTTTTCAAAGAAGCAACCATCGAAGCTTCACTATTCTTGTTTTTGTAAGCGCACGGGTAGGCCTACTGCTGATTAGTTTCAGACGTTTAGCTCTTCAGTACGGAGTAAATCAAAACTCTACTATTTAGGGTTTCGAGGCCTGTGAAAAAAATATTGAAATAAGCTGACAATTTTGGCTTACAAGGGAATGGTCAGAAGTCGAAGTGGACAATCCATACAAGCTGCATATCATTAGAAGTAGTATAAAACGCTTACTCTAAATCTGTCTTCCTTATCTGCAGAGCGCTTTTGTAGGCGAAGTTATGAGCAGCTTTATTGCGCAAAAACCGTATACAAAAATTGCAAAATTAAGCACATTATTGCTCTTTCTGCCCACCTCCAGGTACGGGTTATATGAAGTGGCCTAGTTGCATGTTTTGGTCCAACACTGAGTTGAGAATGGTTTGTACGGCCAAGTTTGCACTTTACACGCACAATTTCTTAGCAAAATAATGGCCTTCAAGGCTCGTAAATTTCGTTCACAAAAGCGCTCTGCAGACAAGGAAGACTGATTTAAAGTCAGCACTTTATGCTGCATCCAACGGTATGCAGCTTGTCTCTATTGGCCATTTTGACTTCTGACCATTCCCTTGTTAGTCCTAAGTCCAGTCCAATGTAAACCTGTTTCAGATCTTTGAGGCACTACAGGTTGTGGAAGAGGAACGGTAGCGCTTTACGAATGAGAGGCGAAGTTTGCGTATGTAGGTGCGTTTGAGTTGCAGCCCGCTTACTGTTGTTCGAAACAAAAAATTCCGAAATGTAATAAAAATCAAGCTGTCCCATTAATCTCTGTTCAGCCTGATAAAATTTCATTGGCATGCCATCTTCGAATGTTTCTTGAAATTATTGATGCTTCTGCCATTTTTATTGTTGGATATTTTGGCTTTTCGAACTAATGCTTGAAAGCCCTTATCTCTTTCCCAAGGTTTAGTGATGCTTCAGAACGTCCATCTCGCCGATACATCGACGCATTACCGATTTTTTATATAAAATCAAAATATGCGGCGATTTTATGGAATTTCTCACATAAATAGAAGCTGGAACCGTTCTTCAGCATTACACTCTCGTTTCTTTGAAGTTTGCTTTGTCAGTTTTGCAACCGCGTGTCAAGACCCGTTTGTTATTAGAGAGTTGCTTCTGTTTAGTCTCTCTACCGCACATTGCTCAAACCGTTTCTGAGGCAACCAAGCTTAGCATATTTACGATCAGCCGAAAAGTTGAAAATTAGTTCAACTATACCGATATTGCTTGAGCGGTACCCCTTAACGCTGAGCTCAATTCCCTAAAACAGTCTGGAAGCGGCAGAGAGGAAAATAAACGAACTACAGCGAACATCATGAATGCAACTGACACTGACACTACTGACATTACAAAGACTTCAAAGTAGCTTGTATGATTTTGTCATGAAACAATCATCCATCAAGTCTTTCTAGTTATTGGTAACTGCTCACAGCCCTTTAACTGTTAATAACACGTTAACGCAAGCCTTCAAACTTTACGCAAAGTTACTCAGCTTCAGACGACCTAAAAATCCAGCTTGATAAGAGTTTAAAGCTGAACCTCAACAACCACTGTCGATCAGCAAGACCTGCTCTCTAAAAGGGAGTAGCAAAATTTGAAACCATTTGTAAAAGAAAAAGTAGCCTCCAACTATACGAATGTCTACTTTTTTACAACGATAATAATTTCGCTTATGCAAAAGAAAAGAGAAAGTGAGCCGCTTTTTTTACCATTAGAAGGCTATGCGAAAAAACTTTTTCGTTTAACTCAAAGCTATTACGATCCTGCCCGGCGTTTCACTTTCAACTTCCATTTTTTACTGCTTCACTCCGCTGATTTGATGCAGGTGCTTCTTCGTGGCCGCATAGAGCGAAGCTATTGTTTGCAGGCACACTACCTAAACAGTGTGCAAACATTCACCGGTTAGTGAAACCCATTTGTACTGGATTCCAGCAAGGACACTTAGTAATATACATTTTCTTAGATTTCTGCAACTGATTATTCAAGTAGATATCACCTCAAATTCTTTTGTATGTGGAAAAAAATAATAGAATGAAATGCTCCTCTCTAATGTATGCATATTACCCTTGCCTTTTCATTTGATGCAACAAACATGTGCTTGAAAAGAGTTAAGGTTGACTTATTCAGAGGTCAGCAAAGTTAGAAGTTTGATATTAGGTTGTCCCGAAAGTTTTGTCCGTTTTTTCAACCTATCATTAAAATACGGGGAACAAAGATAGGGAAATGCTCTAAGCACTATCCGACGCATCTTTTCCTTCTCTTTCTAAATGTCATAATCTTGTGCAGATAACTCCTTTGATCACTGAGATAAACGCTGAAATTTCGAACCCATGGTTTTCACTATGTCCAAGTTTGGCAATTTTTCACAATCTTCATTTTCAACTTTTGGAAGACCTTTGATAGCCCTCAGATAGAGTAAGCAAAGGGCAATGCAATGCAATTGTATCTAGCTGGCTTTTTGATATTTAAAGATAATTTTTTCAAAAGTCTCCACTTTTGCGAAGTTCTAAAATACAGAAACGCCTCAAGCACTAACAAATCATCGAATTTTGAAGCTTTCAAAAACCGATTACGATTATTCACTATTTTTACGAAGCAAATGAGCGTTTACCGCTTCGAAATATAAGATTTTGCATTTTACTTGTACACGCTGGGGTGGGGTCAAATTCAAGAATTATCAAAATTTTATCGCCAAGGGCCCCGCAAATTGGGGAGAATATACACTCACTAAAAAGAGGAGGGAAAGCTGCATCGAGTAACACCTTAGTTGTGCGCCGTTTCATGATCTCTGGCTTTTGGCATCACCAAAAGTGGAGTTTGATAGCATCAGAAAAATAATTCAAAAAAATTTTCAAGGCTGGCTATAGAAGCCGCAAAATTGCATTATATTGCCATTTGTTTGCTCTATCTAAGTGTTGTCAAACCTTTTCCGAAAGTCAAAAATAAAGATTGTGAAAAATTGCCAAACTTGGACATAGTAAAAACCATGGGTTCGAAGTTTCGACGTCTATCTAAGCGAACAAAAGATTAATTGGCATGGAAGCATGACAATTAGAAGGAGAATGAAAAGATGCGTCGGTTAGTGTTCAGAGCGTTTCTCTATTTCGTTCCACGCCTTTTCATGATAGGTTGAAAAAACGAACAAAACTTTCGGGACAACCTAATATTTTTGTTGTAAATACAAAAAAATTAATGTTGCGTTGACCTTTAGGCATTCCTGGAAACATATATATGCAGCTTTGGCCAGTCTGATCAAGACGAAGAATCTACATCTAGATGCGCTCCACGAGGACCTCAGCACAGTAGTTTCCACTTGTCCCTGTCCCTCGCATTAGACATCCACGATCTTCTTCTCTGTTTTCGTTGGCTGCGTCCAGGAGTTCCAAATGCGAAAATCGTATCCAGCTGATTTCTCAACCGGTCCATCCGTAGCTGAGTTTTTTGCGAAGTTTGTTTTCTGTACCAAGGCGGGTCCCGGCATGAGTTCGTTTCTAGGCTTCTTGAAAACGAAGTTCCGCTTGACTTTCAGGAAATTTTACGAAGTCACCTTTGGCTCTTAACCTTTAACATAAAACACCCTGAAAAAGGAAACGTTAACTAACAAAGAAAATGTCGCAATTTTTGGCCACAAAACGACGCACTCTTTTCTTTTTCGCCCCAAAAACGAAGTCCAGCCTGCTTTCATACAATTTGCGACTGGCCCTTCTCTAAGCTCATTCAGTGGTCTGATGGCAAAGCAAGGATAATCTTCGTGAAAAATTTGTGCAGCACACTCGGCATAGATATGATATTACTCCCCCAGGAACAACGGGCGTCGGCACAGGCATTAAGAGAGGAAAAGGTTAATGTTAAAGCTTTCCGCGATACATCCAATTATATTGAATAAAACTAGTGTCCCGACTTCATTCAGCAGTTTTGCCAAACCGTATGTAGTATGCACGCCACTCCCATACTTCTAAAAACTCTCTTCTTGGCTACTTCCAGTCTCTTAACTTGCCTGCTTTCGAAAATAATGCTGCCAGGCTGTTCTGCAACTGGCGTTGGCTTTCAAATCGCTAAGGTAGTTCCGGACCTGCGCCTTCAACATCTTTCTCCGAGCAACTCAGCGTTCTCAAAATGTGTTTCAAATTTTTTAAATCATTGATGGTGTTCCTCGTAGATTCGCAATCTTGATAGTCATAAACGACTCCTTTTCTTCTTGGCGCATTATGGCAAACCCTCTAATTAAGCATTCGACTAAAACGCTACCTTCGCTTGATAAAGGCGATAATCAGGGTCGCTGCTGAAGCATGGAACTACTGAGAAATCGAGCAAGCTACAGTTGGTTTAAATGTGCTTAATCTTTGCGCAAATCGTTCCGCTAGCTGATTTCCGTGTCCGTCTGGTTTATCCTTTCTTCATTAAGATAAAGTTTTTACAAAAAGTCGAAGACCCAACAAAAAGAGTATCGTTTCCGCTATAAAACCTACATCCGAACTCTTCGATCTTATACTTCTTTTCTGGTGACATTCCGATTTTTCCTTCACTTTTGCATTCAACAAAGCGTGTAAAATGGTGAGAACGACTTTCTTCACTTCTTCAAAGAAAGCTTTGACAGCTGTTGTTTTGCGAAGTACAGTTGATAGCGCTGATGGGTCTTTGGAGGCCGTACATTTGAGATGGTGAATGAGGGGATAGGATTCAAGCGAATCAGTAAATAAATCATAGATGATTGGACAAAACCAAGCCTCCGTTTTCGTAATGAAACTCACACGACACATATTAAAGGTTCTACCACTCAACTGTCACACGTCCTTCTTCCTGCAAAGCGATGACGTGGTTCTGCAACGTCGAAGCGCGGGGAGGAGGGGGGGGGGAGAGACATCGCGTTTGTTTAGACGTACTGCGTTGCATAGCATGAGGCAGTCTCCATAATGAGTCGTCGCGGTCGTGTTGTTTTGTACGATTTAGATGATGCTCCGAGCACCTGACAACGTATTACCACCCGGCGCCTTTGGTGGAATACAAGGTACATGGTTGATTTTGGTTTGTTTTGGTGGTTTTCTTTTCTTCTTGCCAAGAGCTCAGCCAAGTATAGATATTAAATTCCGCGTTTTTCTAGTCTTCCTTCTCTACGCTTATTCAGTTTAGCGAAATGTAATTCATTCAGTAATTGAGTAAGCAGTAATTTAACGACCCTCCGCGAACTTTATCTCTGTAGTGCTGATGAGATCAGACTGTCTATCAGCGACAAAGGAGGGGTACGTGTTGTATTACCACGTGAAATGGATATGGCTATCACAGTAAATCACTTGGCAGACAACACGGTGTACGAGTCATCGGAAAGTGAACTCAAGAGACTGTACCGCCGCTTAAACAAGGTCTGGGTGGAAGTTGCTCATCGCTACATCAAACATACGTTGACAAAACATAAACAACATACATACATTATGACGCGTCTCAAGTGCGACTTGCCTATATATCCGGTATTATACGTTCTGGTAAAAACCCTGCTAACTTCGACCGGTTTCGTCTCCAATAATCCTGAGGTTTATAAGGCCAGATCGAATATCAGCAATGTGGGTGAGCCAACGGACAGGATCTCCTGGTTTTTGAACTTGGTGTTGTCTCAGCTGCTGAAGTTCGTCGACTGGCTATCTCCGGTACAAATATGTTTCTAGATCGTCTAGGCGGAACGCGCACTGAACAAAGATGCGTGGTAAAGTCTTACAACGTAACTGTTCTTTACGCCAGCGTTTCCAACAGTGACGCCATGAAAGTCACTCGAGCTTTTCTAGAACATCGGACTTCCTTGAACCTTCATGGATTCAGCACCAGAGGGATCATGCTTTGAAGGAGTGCCTCCAATATACACTCTTTCGCTGGTGTGGTTACTATTACAAATAGATTTTCGATGGGTCAGCGTTTAGCACCGACATTGGCCATCGTTTTCATGTCCAAGATAGAATCGGTATTTGCGCGAGAAACATTCTTGTACTCCGCTACGTGGCCAACTGTCTTACAGTTGGCTCCACCCAAGAAGAGCTGGATCCTTGTTTTCCTTGACAGGCAGTCTCGTCATATCAAGATGACGCGGGAGAAGCATATTGACAACTGGCTGCCCATTCTTAAATGAGATGCAGGTCTCGGAAAATGGTTGGAGAATACGATGGTATCGCAAGCCCAGCAGCGAGGACGTCCTTATTTATTGCATTTCAGCTTACACCATGCACAAGTTAAAAAATTTGTCTCGGAAATATGTACAGTGGCCGTATTCATCAAACCGGTGAGGATTTTCCTCGGAACGTGATCAGCCCGTTTCGATCAATGAACCTTGAGGGTAAATTCTATCCTTGAAGGTAGAATTAACCCTCAAGGGTAGAATTTACTCCAGGGAGCGATTAACCCGTATTCGCGAACGTAGGTTATCAGGGTATATTTAACCCTAGCACAAAGCAGGCTTAGATTCACTCGCTAAGCAACTTGACATCGATTCTGTCTCCACCCGGGGCTTTAGGTGACATCGAATGTACAGGGTTTCATCTCGCCGTCGGGTAAAAAGTCTTCCTCTCCAAAGCAGGACTGGGGCGCGCCCTGCTTTCGATTAGCGATCGCCGATCAAGGGATGCAGAGTGGGCACCGTCAGCGATCCTTGCCTAGAGCAAGTTTCGAGAGGGAATTGGTTTGGGAGATCCTGCCAGAAAATACACGGCTGTACGTTACGGTTCAACACACGGGGCCGCTCCACACCACGTTGAGGCGGAGAAGCTTAGCGAGGCACACCTCCATAAACAAAGAAATCACTTTACAGTTGAGCGCATTTCTCTGTAGGTGTCAAGGGTGGTTTACACGTTTTCGTCATTTCCCTAAACTCTTTGAAAAACTACCCTAAATGAAATTTCACTTTCACATCAGCCCGACCGTTTTTCGAAAGGGTTCTAATGAGAAACGCACTTTGATTTGAA